GACATTTCTGAGACTTTGAGAATGTAAGGGTAGAATTTTGGTAACATTTTATTCCAGACTACAAAATGTCTTCTTTTTTTTTTTTAAACCTCAGATACTTCATCACATAGCATCTACAGATGATTAAGCAACAGTGAAGAAGAAGAAGAAAAAAAAAAAAACAAAAAAAAAAAACATTGGAGCCTCATCAAGGACATTTCTTTCTGCTGAGATAATGATGATGATAATCTTGAGGAAAAAAAAAAGTAATTCACTTCTAAATAGTACCAAAAACAAATCAAGATATTCCAATTTAGTAATCCTTTTTTTTTTTGTTCTTTTTTTTTATTTCTTCTTTAAGAAAAAAATCGTCTTGTCCATTTTTTTTTGTCCTCCGAAAAAATGTCCCTGAGTTGGCCGCTAGTCCCAAAAAGTCTGAGTCTGATTCTAGTTCCACGAAGACCCAGCTTTTCCCCCTTTCCCCTTCCCCCCCCCCCTTGAAATTTAACCCCCTCCCTCCCTCCCTTAGATGAGCTCCTAAGGAAAAAACCTAAATCTAAAATTCCTGGGTCTCTTCTCCGCAGGACATTTACAAATACACAGTAATTTCCTACACAACATAAAGATCTCTTGAACCACCTGGGCTGTGAGGACCCAATGAGCTCACGGGAACCACAGGAACCACGAAAACGAGAAGAAGAAGAAGAAGAAGAAGAAGAAGAAGAAGAAGAAGAGAAGAAGAAGAAGAAGAAGAAGACGAAGAAGAAGAAGAGAAGAAGAAGAAGAAGAAGAAGAAGAAGAAGAAGAAGAAGAAGAAGAAGAAGAAGAAGAAGAAGAAGAAGAAGAAGAAGAAGGAAGAAGAAGAAGAAGAAGAAGAAGAAGAAGAAGAAGAAGAAGAGAGAAAAGAAGGAGAAGAAGAAGAAGACGAAGAAGAAGAGAAGAAGAAGAAGAAGAAGAAGAAGAAGAAGAAGAAGAAGAGAAGAAGAGAAGAAGAAGAAGAAAGAAGAAGAAGAAGAAGAAGAAAGAAGAAGAAGAAGAAGGAAGAAGAAGAAGAAGAAGAAGAAGAAGAAGAAGAAGAAGAGAAGAAGAAGAAGAAGAAGAAGAGAAGAAGAAGAAGAAGAAGAAGAGAAGAAGAAGAAGAAGAAGAAGAAGAAGAAGAAGAAGAAGAAGAAGAAGAAGAAGAAGAAGAAGAAGAAGAAGAAGAAGACGAAGAAGAAAAAAAAGAAAAGAAAAAGAAAAAAAAAGAAAAAAAAAGAGAAGACGAAGAAGAAGAGCAAGAAGAAGAAGAAAAAGAAGAAGAGCAAGAAAAAAAAATAACAAAAAAAGAGAGGAGGACCCCATTACTCTCGGGCGCCAAGGGAACGCAAGGATGAGTTGGAGGACGAGAGTCTGAGGATCCCTTCAAACCGAGCCATTTATTTGTCGTCCTTAGAACCTGAGCCAAAAGAACCGAGGGCAACAAATCCGTGGCTGAAAACGTGGACATTTGGAGCACCTACATCAGAGAGCGAGAGAGTGAGAGGAAGATCGATCGATAGATAGATCGAGAGAGAGAGGGGAGAGGGGGAGAGAGAGGGGGAGAGAGGGGAGAGAGAGGGGGAGAGAGAGGGAGAGAGAGGGGAGAGAGGGAGAGAGAGAGGGGGAGAGAGAGGGAGAGAGAGAAAGGGGAAAAATAGAGAGAGGGTCAGAGAAAGAAGGAGGGAAGAAGAGAGAGAGAGAGGAAGTGGGAATGAGAGGGAGGGAGGGAAGGAGAGAGAAAGAGAGAAGGAGAGGCAGTGAGGGAAAGAAAGAGTAAGACAAACAGGCTTAGGCAGACACATAGATAGAGATAGAGGAAGGAAAAGAGCAAAGAGAGAGAGAAACAGACAGACAAAGAGAGAAAAGGAGGTATATAGAGAGACAAAAGGAGAGAAGGAGAGAGAGAGAGAGAGAGAGAGAGAGAGAGAGAGAGAGAGAGAGAGAGAGAGAGAGAGAGAGAGAGAGAGAGAGAGAGAGAGAGAGAGAGAGAGAGAGAACCCGACAGAAAGACAGAAAAACATAGGCAGAAAGAGACAGAGAAATAGATAGACAAGAGACAGACCCAAAGAAGAGAGACAGAAATAGATAGAGACTTCCAAAAAAAAAGCAAAGTAAAAAAAAGGAAAAAAAAAAATATACTGGATCCTGTGAGCCTTACGGAACCCAGAGCCCAGCTGGTTCATGAAGATCCAGCGGCCACCTGGTCCACATTACTCCAACAGGTATTGAACCACGTGGCTTACCTGCGCCCTTGTAGCAGCAGGCGGGTGAAGTTGGCACGAAACAGTAAGGTCAGTAAGTAAATGAAGTCCACTGAGCCAGTAACAGTGTGAAAGAAAGTCTTCTACTCTCAGCAGACCCCAAGGGCAATTATAACGTCTGTGGGAATTCCAGATCTCATTTATTGAATACTCTATATTACAAGAATGAAGCATTTCTTAAAGAGTTAAGAATGACCTACAGTTACCATACTGTCGCATGCCACCCTCACAGAAGAACGATTCCCTAATACCCTAATGGAATCCATATTGATTATGTTGTTCTTTGGGCAGAGGCGCTTGTCCTCCGCTTAGTACAGGAAAGGTTTTCTTTGGAAAACCATGGAAAAGGGTGAAAGGAGTCAATTACATTTTCAACATTACAGGAAATATATATATGTATGTATATATGTATATATATATAATCACAGCAATATAAAATTGTTAAGTTCACAACAAACATTCCAAATAAACCTTAGCAGCTATTATGATGAACGCAAACAGAACACACCATGCAAGGGGCCAACATAGTTACTGGCTCTACTCTACAAAAATATCATTCATTTGACATTATTTTATAATCTAAATGGACTATATGCTATATGCGTTGAATGTATGAAATGTACAATGAATATTCATATATAAAAAATATCTGCCCCTATTCAGGTTGAATTTAGTCAGGTAGTCAGATAAACTATCAATTTTTTTTTTCTCGAAACTACATGATTTTAGGACTAAACAAAGTAAAAAAAAAGATATTTCAAAGAAAGGTTAAGCTAATAGTATTCATTCTGACCAGTACAAATACAATGGCATTTGTTGTTGTTATTCTCAGGGAGGTGTAAAAAAAAAAACAAAAAAGAAAAAAAAAGACAATGCATTCCCACATAGGTAGGCAGCCTTGCTAAGCCTTCCGTCCCACAAAACCACAGTGTAAAACCTTCAGGGGGTCGAAAGATACCTCATAGCATAACACAAGCCTTAAACAATACTAGGAGTAGAACCAATACCTTCTGTCGCCTTGACCTGCACCCCGAACGGCATGGAACAGAACCTATGATTACAAAGAAGTGACGCACAGTTCACCCAGGCAGGTCATCCCAACACTTAACTTTCCCAGCAACTTAGAAGAAAGAGAGAGAAAAACAAGACTCTGAGGGTTGTCAACACTCTCTATCATATATAAAAAAATGGCATAGGGTTAAGATGTACAGAGGGGCGTTCAAATGTACCTTGGGACATCTTCATTGCAAACTGGCAAGGCAGGAATATCATTCGTGAATTTTGAGATGCTTATGGCGTGCTGTTCATAGTCTTCTGTTCACGAGGCTAAAGAAGAAGCTGTCAATTGCCCAAACTGCAAGCAAGAGGTCCGAAGATCATGTCAAAGATGATAAGTTTTCTTGTGCTTCATATATAATACAAATGTGCCTGAATGTCCTAATTAAACAGTAATTACTGTATGTACAAGATATTATTTTCTATTCCATCATAACATTAAAAGAAGAATACAGCTAGGCATTCACATCTTTTTGTTTCACAAGAACAGTTTAACTGTACACGAACTTAACACACTTACCAAGAAATTTATAAAAATATTTAATAAATATGTATTTATTCTTATGTAGTTTTAAACCAATGTTTATTGCTAGACAATACTGTATCCACAAATGATATACTGAATCACAAAGAATAAATTAGTAAAAAAAAAAAAATGTATAGCCAATATCAATACCTTTAATAATCATAATAATCATAATAATAATAATTACAGTCATAATGATACCACTAATATTATACCAACAACAACAATAATTTCTTAAAAACCGTACCTCAATCTACATAACTCTCTTCAAGAGTGTTTCAGCCATATTACTACATATAGTAAAACGTGACAGACATCAAACACGTGTAGCTCTTGGGTTCAAAAGCACATACAAAATAATCCTGATGAACATACGAACTATAGCATGTCACACACTTTACTGTTTCCAATAAATTCAGCTATTACAATTCTACAATTGGTATATATATATGTATGAATATATAAAAAAAGAAAGACAGAAAGAAAGAAAGAGTGGAAGAGAAATAAAAAAATGAGAGAACTTTTATTCATATTTACAACACGAATAGCAAAAAGGATTCAAAATACCGTAATGCTATGGACAGTTGTAGCCATAGGACTGCCCTCGAGATAAAACTTAGCCTGTGTCCATTGAAGTAGTCTTACAAATTACAAGGTAAAAGTCCCTACTTGATTTGTGTTATGAGGAGTATAGTTATGCAAAATACAATGTTCCCTTTCCTTAATTTTTTAAAGTTATGATTTGAGGGAATAAGAAGGAGATCAAACAAGGGATAAGTTAATTAAATAGAAGATGTAGAAGGGGGAAAAGAGTGGGAGACAAGAATATGATATAAGAGAAGAAACGGTGAAATAAATATATTAATAGAAGAGAATAAGAAGTAGAAAAAAGAAGAAAAACATCAGAAAAGACAAAAAAATAAAAAAAAATAACGAGAGAGAGAGAGAGGAGAGAGAGAGAGAGAGAGAGAGAGAGAGAGAGAGAGAGAGAGAGAGAGAGAGAGAGAGAGAGAGAGAGAGAGAGAGAGAGAGACAGAGAGACAGAGAGACAGACAGACAGAGAAACAGAGAAACAGAGAAATATATAGACAAAAAAAACAAAAAAGATTAAATAAAGAGATTCCATAAACACTGCTAAACGGGTAGTTTGGTATTTCATA